AGTATAATACAGAGGATCATTCAGAATCTCTGAGTGTTTGGAATTGTTCTTTTCTCTCTCTCTCTCCCCCTCCCTTCCTTTCTTTTTCTTTTGAGACAAAATCTCACTGAGTTACCCTGGGGTTGAGTGCTATGGAGTCACAGCTCACAGCAACCTCAAACTCCTGGGCTCAAGCAATTCTCTTGCCTCAGCCTCCTGAGTAGCTGGGACTACAGATGCCCAACACAGCGTCTGGCTATTTTTTTTTTTTTTTTGAGATGGGGGTCTCGCTCCTGATCAGGCTGCTCTCAAACTCCAGAGCTCCAGCATTCTACCTGCCTTGCCCTCCCAAAGTGCTAGGATTATAGGCATGAGCCACTGCACCCAGCCTTTGAGTGGAATTTTTCTAAGAACACACCTCTAGACTAATCTTGCGGGGTAAACTTCTATTGACAGTACCATGCCAATGACTTTAAGTAAGTCTTTTCTCTGGAGCTTACCAACTTTCCCAGAAGAGGCACTTTCAGTTATGTGCTTCAAAAGTGAAGGATGGCTGCTAGTGTCGTTAGTGTCAAGAGAGCAAAGGATGTTGGGCGGGGTGTCTTAGTATCTAGCATCCCTTGTTTTCAAGGTGGTAGATATCCTTACCATCCACCATGATTAGTTTACAACACAGTCCAGGGACCTTCTGTTCTACTCTGTCCAGTGAAGAGTGGCAGTTACACACTATTTGAAGTCTGGGAGGGAATTTTTGTACATGGCTGTTTTAATCATCTTGATTTTAATGATCTCCCTTTACCCAAAGGGTCCTTACTCAGTTTAAACTGAGGCAAATTCTACCAATTACATTAGTGTTATTTCTCTGTTTTCCTCTCTGGTTGCTTAGGATTTTGGTTCCTTGATTTTATTATAGCTTTTCAACTAGTTATTTTCAATTTCCAGCTTCCAGAATTTTGTTGCTCTCCTCCTGTTCTCTGATTTTGTTTCTTCTTACTGTCATTTTAATGGCGTTTTGGTTGGTTTCAAAAGTAGAAGTGTTTGTTGAAATAGGTATTTTTACTCAAAAGAAATTTTAATCTTGAAAATTCCCTTCTGTTGCTTATTTAATTGGGGTGAAAAAATACTAATGTGTTGTATTATAAATAAATTTGTTAAGAGATTTACTAGTAAGAAAGGAAAATACGCATTTTCTATTAATTCATCTCCCAGGAAAGCTTAATAATAGTATTGGGCAATTTTCAAACACCTATTTGTATACCCTCTGATTGGTTAATCTACCTGTTTATGAGGCCTCTGATTTGTCAAGCTCTTTGAATTCATATCGAGAGATTCTAGGATATTATTTGTTCCTTGAAATAAAGTAATAATGTATGAATTAGGATGTTTGACTTTGGAGTTTTACAGATGTGAGCTTTAAGTCCTGACTCATTTGACCTAGAATCCAGTGATAAACATCTTTTTCTCCTTTTTAAATAGCAGTAATAACAGTATATGCCACATAGAATAATTTTGAGGATCGAGAAATGCAAACCTAATATACCACTGGCCTATAGGAAACATTCAGTGTAAAGTAGCATCATCATCATGGCAAAAGGCAGTGGACAGTAGTAGGAAAGAACATGGACTTAAGGCAGATTGCCAGGGATTAAAACCTGCCTCTGCAATTTATTAAGCGTGTTGCCTTGAATTTCAGTTAGCTTTGTTTAAAAGAAAGTAGCCCCTTGGGTGGTGCCTGTGGCTCAAGGAGTAGGGCACCAGACCCATATGCTGAGGGTGGTGGGTTCAAACCCAGCCCTAGCCAAAAAACTGCAAAAGAAAGTAGCCTCATCAACAATCATTGAGGTTTTTTTTTATTATTATTGTCATATATACATAGATCATGAATACATTTATGTCTTTGTGGGATTCTATGTGTTGATTATTTGTACATATTGGACAAATATTTGTACATTTATATCCTACAAATTAACATAGTTTTCACCTCATTTACTTAATCACAGTGTTAAGACATTTGTGTTCTATACTTGATAGATTTGACTTGTATCCTTGCAATATGCTCCATAGGTGTGGTCCCACCATTAACCCTCCCTCTATTGAACCACCCCCCTCCCTTGTCATCCCTCTCCTCTTTCCTCCTTCATCCTGCACTACAGTTGTGATTCATCTTTCATATGAAAGTGTGAGTGATTGTAAATTGGTTTCACAATAATACTGAGTACATTGGATTTTCTTTTCCATTCCTGAGATACTTTACTAAGAAGAATATTTTCCAACTCCATCCATGTAAACATAAAATAGGTAAAGTCTCCATCCTTTTTTAATGCTGCATAGTATTCCATCATATACATATACCATAATTTATTAATCCATTCATGGGTGGATGGGCACTTGGGCTTCTTCCATGACTTGGCAATTATGAGTTGAGCTTCAGTGAACAATCTGGTGCAAATATCTTTGTTTCCAAGTGATTTTTTGGAATTTTGGATATACACCTAATGAAGGAATTGCAGGATCAAACAGTATTCTCCAAACTTCTTTCCAAAAGGAATATACTAGCTTGCATTCCCACCAGCAGTGCAGAAGTGTCCCCTTTTCTCCACATTCATGCCAACATCTGTAGTTTTGGGATTTTGTGATGTGGGCTACTCTTACTGGAGTTAGATGATATTTCCAAGTGGTTTTGGTTTGCTTTTCTCTGATGATTAAAGATGATGAGCATTTTTTCATGTGTCTGTAGACTGTGCACCTGTCTTCTTCAGAGAAGCTTCTGCTCATGTCTCTTGCCCACCATACAAAAGTTTTTACTGTGCACATGTGTGGAGTTTATCTCAGCAGCTAAGCTGATCTTTCCTAGGCTCACTCTTAAAGTTGGCTAGTATTTTTATTTGAGACAATCTTACTTTGTCACCCTTGGTAGAGTGCCACAGAGTTATACCTCACAGCAACCTCAAACTCTTAGGCTGATGTGATCCTCTTGCCTCAGCCTCCTGAGTAGCTGGGACTACAGGCACCCACCATAACACCTGGTTAGTTTTTTCTATTTTTTACTACAGATGGGGTCTTGCTCTTGCTCAGGTTGGTCTCCAACTCCTGAGCTCAGTCAAGCCACCTGCCTTGACCTCCCAGAGTGCTAGGGTTATAAGCATGAGCTGCTGTGCCCAGCCAATGTTGGTGGTTCTGTCTACTGTCTTTGTCATGGTCATAACAGGGATGTTGAGGAAGCTCAACTCTGCCCCCCTTGTCTCTTTCTCCATTAGGCTGGTGTAGTTGTTTTCCATAGTGATAGCAGAATTCCCAGAGAGAAAAATAAAATTTTGAAAATACATTTTAAGCTTAGTTGTGTCAAATTATAAAATTTTTTTTTGCCCAAATCAAGTCAGATGACTGATTCAGGGGCAGGATTCTCTGCCTCACCCTGTGTAAAGAGGAAGGGTATTGAAAAGTTACATAACAAAGGACAAGATATAGGGAGTAGCAAAAAACTGGGGCAATGTTTGCATTCTCCTACACACCAGAAAATAGCTTTAAAATCTCATCTGTTACTTTCCTTAGGCAAAAATATATTAAGGGGTGTTTATTTAAGACAATAATGAATACTGTAAAGCTTTGAAATCATTCAAAGCTCTTGAATCCCCATCTCTTTTCTCCTTTCCTAGTTATTCTGACTCCCTTGCAATTTGTTTAATACACTGTGCAGCCTTTATTCAGAATCCTCATGAATTCACACTTCCATTGACCTTGGCTTAATAGACAGCTGCAATGTATTAAGGTGCACTGGACCTAAACCACTTTGTCCTCAATAATACAACTTTGTCTTCTGAACCACTTCCAGGCATAGAGTAAGGAGGATCCCAAAGCCATGTGAGTCAAGCAGACTGTAGGTATTCTCTGGGTTATGCTATGGTTTATTTAACACTGACAAGCATTATGCAAGCATCTTCTGTTTAATGGATCCTACCAATGTCCTGTCAAAATGAAATTAGGTAATCTAATTTCTAGAAATCACAATGTAACATAATGGGAGAACAAATCTTCAAATATGTAGAATGCGTTGCTATGGGAATACCACTGAGAAAGAGCTAATTGATTTCACCTTGAGTAGGCTGGAAAACCTTTTCAAGAAGGTGACATCTCTGATGAGACTTGAAAGTGAACATACCTGGTGAGCCAAGTGGGGAGTACACAGTGTCTCAGGGAAACGAGCCTGTTTGTAAAACTGCTCGTTGTTTAGCATGCTCAGACAGCTGACAGGGATGGGAGCTGTGAATTTTATATTAGACAACTATTTAATATACCTTTAACCTTTCCACTGTAATGATTTGCCCTTCTAATAGGGGAGATAGTCTAGCTTCCTAGGAGTAGGTTCTCTTTCTCCTAGGAGAAGGAGATAATATTCCTTCTCCAACAGAAGAAAGCTCAATTTTTAAAAAATAGTTTTTATTATGTCATTTGTACATAGATCATAAATACATTTATGCCATTATGGGGATTAAATGTGTTGATTATTTGTACAAATTGGAGTGCTTACATCCTACTAAACAACATAGCCTTTAATAGAAAATGAGAAAGGAAAATCAGGCTTTTATTTTTCTGTGATCCTAAATGTTTTGGGGACTCCCTGGCTTCAAGAATCAATAGTTTTACAAAGCATTCTTGAGTCTAGCAAAGATTTTGCCTTAGGTTTTTGATATCTATCTCTGTATACCAGATATGAGTTAGACATGGCCTTCTATCTGGTGATTATATAGTGGTCATGGGTAATGTGCCTGATTGAAAAAGATAAAATAGAAATTAAAATGCAAGCCATCAATAAGATGATCTTTTCCAGATTTAAAATTTGAATTGGTAATCTTCACATCTCTTGAGAGAGGGGCTAATGTTATCATATTATAATATATATTTTCCAAATTGTAAAATTATAAATTTAGTTTGTTGGCACAAAGTAATCTTTTATGATGGCAGTCAGATTGAAAGTCTGAGGTGGCTAATTATAATCACACACTTTTCCACTTTTCTTTTAGATGTGGTTATTATTCTAAACCAGAAGAACGTTTTGAGAGAAATTGGGTCGTAGCTGTGGAGTATTTAGCTGCATTGAGCTTTCCGACAACCTTGATCAGGTCATATAAATTCCAGAAGGGCCTGCCGCCACGAGTCCTCCTTAAAACAGATGTAGTCCCTTTCATCAGTGACTTTACTGCTTTTCAGAATATAGTCCTGTTTGCTCTTAATGTACTAAACAAACTGGATAAACTCATAGGTAAGAATTTTGAAAGAACATTTTAAAAAATCAATATTGGGTTGAATGAATAGAAGAACAAAAAATTAAATCAGAGATATAGATATTGCAATTCTCCAAAAAGAAAGTTATGATTTCTGTGGGCATCCATTCCATTCCTTCAGCAGTGATCACTCTTGATACATACGGCGGAACAATATAATGAGCACATATTTTGATCTTTCCACTCACGGCCTGTCCTTTCATCTGGTGTCAGTTTTGAGTCTTGAAGTTGGCAAACTAACTGAAGCACAGTTTTTGTTCTACATACTCATAATAATCCTTATTTTGCTCATCAGATCTTTTTAAAGAAAATTTCTGCTCTCTTCTTAAAAAAAAAAAAAAAAGAAATTCCTAAAGAAAATCTGCCATGACTAGTGAAGTTACTAAGTGAAATTTGACTTACCTGAGTTCTCTCAATCCAGTACTCTTAGTCATCAAAAAAGCCTTTTGCTCCAGTCCTTCAAATGCCAGATCTTCCAGCTCAGTGAAAAACAGGAGGACTGTACGAGTTTGAAAATTACCGTGTCATTCCCATTTTCCATATATGCACTGAAGTGCTGAGCCACGCTTAAAACACAGTTATTATACTGATGAGTGTTTTTCAAAGCATTGAATCTGAAAGATAGAAATTAAACATAAATAAATTAAATATATGTTTTTGAAGCTTTTACATTAATTAGAGTAACCAAAAACACCCAGATATTTTAAGAATTCATGCAAGCAAGTGCAGTTGTTCACATTCTAGTAATGGCTCTAGGGCAGCACTGTCAGGAGGCACCTTCCCCTCACTCAGTGAGTAGGAGACCAAGTCTCTTTCACTCTGAACATTTTTCTTGGAGACTTTTTCCACAAAATAAATTGGTCCAACTCATTCTGTTTAATAGATGTATACTGTTTCATTTTGTGAATTTACCATCACTGAGAACCTTAGTTACTATTGTTCGTTACTGCCAGCCATTTAACAATGGCCTCCCCTGTGCACTTTTCTTGCATAATTTATGATTTTACCACTAAATTCACAGAAAGGACATGAAATCAATCTTCTCCTGGTAATAAAGCAACAAATCTCATTCCATGTTTACTTTTCTTAGTATTGATTATGATTTTACCACTAAATGAGTAAAAGGGAAAAGAAATAAAATACATGAGTCGTATATTGCCAGATGATACTACAAAAATTTATTGGGAGTTGACTGTAATAATTGTGTATCTTTTACAGGTATTCATTCTGTGGAAAAACGTTTATGAAGTTAGAAGTTATAATGAATCTAGTTGAAATAGTTCTTGAAATGTTTAATTCCAAACTTCTGGAAATGATTAATGAAGTAAAAATGAACAACTCCACCTTGACAACTAGTAATTTCCAAAAATTAATATAATCATCATGTAGCTTAGTTGTTTCTGATGTTTTAAACTTAGATTTGTTTGCTAAGATTTTGGTTATGCTTTTCTAATTTAAAAATTCAAACACATGCAATTATTATTTTGCTAAATTAATAAATCTTGGTTTTTTAATGCATCCAAGTTTAAAATGTTCAAGATCAAAGGAAATTGCATTAAACTAGAAAAATTACTGAGAAATTAATAAACAAATTAAACTAAACTAGGATTGCTCTTTTGTTATTATCCTACCTAATCTCACTTTTGACATTCACAGTGATCCTATCTTGTAGACTTATATTCAAATATAGATTTTTTTTTTTTTTTTTTGAGGCAGAGCCTCAAGCTATTGCCCTGGGTAGTGAGTGCTATGGCACACAGCTCACAGCAACCTCCAACTCCTGGGCTCAAGTGAGTCTCCTGCCTTAGCTTCCCAAGCTGGGACCACAGGTGCCTGACACAATGCCTGGCTATTTTTTGGTTGCAGCCATCATTGTTGTTTGGCAGCCAGGCTGGATTCGAACCTGCCACCTTAGGTGCATATGGCTGGCACCCTAGCCACTTGAGCCACAGGTGCTAAGCCTAGATTATTTTTAAATAAAAGTTTAAATATTTAAAATTCATAAAGCCAGACTGGCAAATACAATATATTAACTGATCTGTAGTTTTTTCCTATTTTTACTGACCACAAGTTTACAATGGTTACATGATAGAGTTCCCCTCCTCTGACCCACACTTGATAATGACTGCTTCAGGGTCAAGTTTGTCAGAGGGCTCTCTTTCAGGAGAGAGAGTGTACTGGTCAGAAGGTGATGATTTACACAACTGGTAGGAAACTTTCATATGAAGCCCCCCTCCGCCCACTAACTTTTGGGAAATGAAATTGGATGGGTTGGTTTGAATTGCTTGGATATTAGAGGAGGAAAGATGTACTTTAAATCTCAGCCCTGTGGTTTGCTAGTTGAATGAGCTTGGGAAATTTTTCTAGTGCCCTCTGTGCTTCCATTTACTTATTGCTAAAATGAAGCTAGATTACCACACCTACTTTACAAGATTATTTTGAAGAGTCAATAAAAAATTACCTTAGATATAAAGTATCTATCTAGTATTTTCCACCAACATGGAGTAGGGATCCCCAAAGGCAGAAATTGTCACAATTATGCTTAAATATGGATACATGTTCTACTCATAGGGCAAGAAAAGCATATGTGGTAAACCAGGAAGATGAATAAATTTTTGCTGGATCCGAGAACACACAGAATATAACAGGGGCAGTGTAATAAATAAACATCCTCCCAAATCTCCTTCCTGAGTCATGTCAAATAACCAGGTACCTATGAAATGTCTATTCACAACTAAACTCTCATTATTACTTGAAGACAGGCAGAAACAATAAAATCACTTGCATTAAAAAGAGAAAAATAAATAAATACCAGTGCCTCAGTCCCACTGGCTTCTACTTCATCCCAGCAAGCAAAGGCAGACTGAGACAAATGGCAGGTGAGGATGGAGGAGAGAGGGACACGAGCCAAGGAACCTGAGTGCGGAATGGCAGGACCACTGGAAAAATTAAATCCCAACTTATTCTGAAGATACTGAAAAGCAACAGGTAGATTAAAGCACTTCAGTGCACAAAATTGCAAAGTAGGAGTCTCTTAAGGGGTCAGGTTTGTGATTTTTTTTTTTTTTTTTTGAGACAGAGTCTCATTATGTCATCCTCAGTAGGGTCCTGTGGTGTCACAGCTCACAGCAACTTCAAAGCCCACTTCTTGGGCTTAAGTGATTGTCTTGCCTTAGCCTCTCAGTAGCTGGGACTATAGGTACCTGCCCCAATGCCCAGCTATTTTTTTGTTATTGTTGTCACTGTTGTTTAGCAGGCCCTGGCTGAGTTTGAACACACCAGCCCTGTTGCATGTGGCTGGCTCCCTAACTTCTGAGCTATGGGGGCCAAGCCTGGATTTTTTCTTCTTTAGCTCTTCTTTTAAACAGATAACAACTATCAGAACAAACTTCTTTCCTTTTTCTGAAAGGGAACAATAATATTATGCTTATCTTGACAGACTTATAATATTCAATATATTTTTGGTACTTGGTAGCATTCAATGTGATTTTATTCATTTCATACATGTAGCACCTATGAAGTCTGACAATTTGTGAACTTGCCACTATGTGCTTACCTTGGCGGTACTGTACAAACAACTCGGTAATGTTTCATAATGTTGGTACATCAGTGTCTCAGAGTTATGTTCATGTTGAAGTGTGGCAGTGTCTTGCTGAGTGTCATTCATTATTGTTGTGTGTCTTTGTGTGCCATCACAAGAATATCAGAGCTTGAATTAGAGTTCTGATTCATTGACTAATGAACATTCTATGCTTTCTCTCCCCTCAGAAAAACATTTAATCCATTTGTACACTGCCATTTTCTTCACGGCATTATCCCCATAAGCTTGGACTAACATGCCCCTGCTTTCACTTCCACTCTCGCCAAGCTTAACAAGAAATTGAATGTTCATTACTCCATACTCTTTTCACAACATACCAACCGATTCTCAAGTTTGAGAGAAAGTATTTACATTTTGAGGAACTGTCAAACTCTTTTTCCAAAGTGGATGCATGGTTTTCCGTCACCAACAGCCTTGTAAAGGTATGAGGGTTCCAAATACTTCACATCCTCTTTAATGCTTAATACTGTCTTATGATGCCACTAGCAATGAATGCAACATTCATCACTTATTAAGTGATAGCCTGTCCTAGAACTTGAGTTTAATATCTAAGTTTCCTATTATTAAACCCAAGCTTTGCATGTCTCAAAAATGCTGCATATTACAACTATCTATGAGATTTTGTTTCGATACCAGTATCTAGATTCCACTAATTAAAGATGTTAATGGTGTAAGAACTGCCTACAGTTATTTATTAAAATATTTCTTTCTTGACAAGTGATTTTGACATATAACAAATGTTAAGAAAGTCTATTCTAAACTGTGTCCCTTCCAAATATGATTTTAGACATCATCCTTTTTGTGGCAATATCTATGATTAATATGATTGCTTCTGGTAGTATACAAATAATCTGGTCTTCTTAGTTTTATTACTTAAAATTGTTTCTATTATATGCAGTATAAACAAAACAAAAACAAAAGCACACTCATCACTGTCTTTAAAATTTTAGCTATTCTAGTGGGTGTGAAAGGGTAGCTCATTGTGGATTTGATTTACATTTCCATAATGACTAATGATTTAAAATATCTCTTTATATACTTATTGGTTGTTTGTAACACCCCTTTGGAAAAATGTCTGTTCTAATACCCTTTCATGTTGAAAAACTGGGGTTTTTTATTTTTGAGTTGTAAGAATTTCAAAATATATTTTGAACACAAGTCCCTTATCAAATATATGATTTGCATATGTTTTCTCCATCTTATGTACTGTCTTTCCTTTTCTAAATGATTCCTTTTGTAGCAACAAAATTTACTAATTTTTAAAAAGTTCATCTTCTTAGAGAAGCCTCTTTACATTGATTCCTTACAATTGTGATATTACAAATATTGTATGTGTTTCTCAAAAAATCCTATATACAGGTTTTGTTATTATTCTTGTTTTATAGTTGGAAAACTAATTAGAGACTTCTTGTCTCCAATATAGTCAGGATTCAATACTTGGATTTGTCTAAATTTAGATTTACTCTAAAGAAAATGATCTTAAACTCTATACAACTATTTTCTATCAGAATACTCTATGTTAACACATTCCAGTATGATACTTCTAAATTTATAAGTCCCAGGACTCATCACCAGCATTTTGAAATTTTCATAGTATTAACATGAAAAATGCCTACCTTCTGTTAAGGGACAGCTTTGGAGGATTCCACTTTTCAGAACAACAATAACACAGTATGGTAAATTTTTGGCAGAAAATAATTTCTAATATTTCAATTAGAAATAATATTAGATTAATTAATTTCAATTAGAAATAATATTAGATTAATTCATAAGCTTATACATATAGGTAATAATAGCAAAAATATTATTGCCAAATAATGAATTTTAGATTATGTTCTTAAGTATAAAATGACAGAAGACCTTTTGTGTAAAGATGGGCATTTGAATACATGCCTCTCCTTTTGCTCCCTCACCAAAACAGAAGCAACAATACTGTTAAGTATGTTTAGGGAAACAAGCACAGGACCATTGTGGAGATTAGAAATCAAACAGAGGAGTGGCAAAGGATTTAGCAAATCCAGGAAGTGTGAATCCTCAGCCAGCCATGGGGGAAAAGTAACAGCATATAGTCAGCGGGATTCTCAGAACAGTTGTCAGGGTCTGACAGCAGGCACCTCTGGAAAGTGGGAGGAAGGGTGTTTTGCTGAAAATGGGAAGTGTTGTTTGAAAGGCAGTTAAAGAAACAACAGATTCAAAAATTCCAAGGCATAGCACTAAGTTAATTACAGAGAGAGTAAAGTAGAGGGTTTCTGAACTGCAGTAAACTGAACATAAATGAAGCCAATCTAAAGACAGAGACCCTAAGTGGACATGTGCACTGTAAGTGTTAAAGCACTGTAAGCCCGGTCTTCCCTCTGAAAGTAAAAAATGGAAAAGTTTTGGTAAATTCAAGCAGTCTAACTTTATAAAGTTAATAAAATGAGAGTTACTCAGTTAAATTGCCCAGCCACATGCTGTACATTTCAGCAGTGAGAAAGCTTTAGTCTTGTCTGCAAAGTTTCAAATTGGCTCCTTACTGCCCCTCTTTTAAATCTGTACATAACCAAAGATTACAGTGTACCTGAGAATGGTAACTTAAATAGGAGATACCACGAAGAAGGTAGTTTCATATACCACACAAAGCAAAGAAATGAAAAAGCAACAGAG